CAGACTCCCACAGGTGTATAAACGTTCGCCCACAATTGCTCATGCCTCACTTGCTAACTTTTACAGATAGTCTCATTCCTTCAAGATAGGAAACTGTACGAACACGTAGATGATTTACTGATAGCAAGTACAGATGAGAATACTTGCTTGAAAGGTACTGTACATTTATGTATTGCTTTAGCAGAGAAAGGTCACCGAGTGTCTCCATCTAAACTCGAGCTGTATCAGAAGGAGGTAAAATGTTTGGTATTTATTTTGAAAGAGGGGCAGCAGGAGATAGACCCAGGGAGAATAGAAGCCATAGTGAAGCTCCCTCACCCTATCACAAAGAAACAGTTATAGGGGAGTTCTAGGCGTAGGGTTTTGTTCTAGTAGGGTTTTGTTGATCGTGGATATCGGAATTAGGGGAATTAACCAAACCTCTAACGGAAGCTACGAAAAATGAAGAGGTGGAACCCATTGCATGGGGCCCTGAGCAAGATAAAGCTTTCAGAGCAATAAAAGGAGCCTTAGTCTCTGCTCCAGCTCTTGAACTCCCGGACTATGCAAAGCCTTTTTATTTGTATGCACATGAATGGAAGGGGCTAGCTAACGGACTATTAATATAGAAATTAGGACCCCACCAAAGGCCAGTAGCACACTATTCTATACAGCTAGATCCGGTGGCAGTGGGAGAACCTGCATACATCAAGTTGATAGAGGTGGCTGTAACAATACTAGAGAAAAGTCACTCCCTTATACTAGGGCATCCTGCTATAATCCATGTATCACCTGAAGTAGAAATACTGTTGAAACAGTATGCAACTCAAGTGTTAACCCCACAGTGGGCATGTAGGTATGAACTAATTATCTTAACAGAAGATAATGTACCCCTAAAAAGGTGTAATAGTTTGAACCCTGCAAATTTGTTACCATTACCCAATGACAGGGAAGAGCACCACCAGTGTGAACAGGTGATGCCTACTCCAAGCAAGCCCCGAGAGGATTTAACGGATATTCCCTTATAGAATCTCTACCTGATCCTGTTTGTAGATGGTTCATCCTCCTACCTACATGGACGACGGTGGGGTGGGTACACCATGGTGAGCCAAGGGCAAGTAATAGAAGCT